CCCGGCCCTGGGTTCACGCCCCCCGCCCCCGCGCCCTCCCCTCACCTCCTCGGTCCCGGGGCCGCCGCGCCGCACTCCTCCTCTCTGCTCCCTCGCGGATGGTGGCAGCGGCGGCAGCGGCGACTCAGACCCTGGGGTCAGGGGGACGGGCGCCCAGGCCGGAAGTGACCTTCCTGGCCGCTTCCGCCCGCGCTGCTCCCCCTCCCCTTCCCACTCCCCCTCCAGCCTCCACCCCGTCCTCGCCGCTCTAGGAAGGCGAGCCCGGCGACCCCCTAGCCGCCGCCCCCCAAGCTCTATGGTACGGAGCGGACGCCCCTGGGAGCCACTTCCGGACACGTCTAGGACACGGGTCCTCCGTCCCCGCTCTATGGCGCCGCGCGCCGAGGGGCTTCGGGCCCCGCCCCCTTCCAGGACAGGAGGCGCGGGCCCGGCCCGTTAGGCGGAGACTTCCGGGTGCTCGGGAGGTACTCCCCCCACCAAACCCGGCTCCCGGCGCTCGCGCCTGCGCGGTCGGCGCCCCGCGCCAGCCTGGGGCGGAAAGGTGTGGGAGAGAGTGGCGGCTAGGGCCGTTCGTGCCACCCCAGGTCCTCCTGTCGTCTCTATCATCGTAACCCCTTCCGTGCCGGGGCTCGAGGCGGTGGCAGCGTCCGCTTGTGGAGGCAGCTCCGGGGCACAGCCCTGACGAGCCCTGCCCGGTGTCCGCGACTGAGCCTAGTTAGGGTCCCGGAGCGAATCTCTAGGGTGGGGCTGGCGGCGGGGGAACCTGCTGCCCCCAAGGCAAGACCCACCAGTGCCCTCGTTTAGTGCACCTGCCACCTGCCAAGCCGGGCGACCAGCCAGCCCCTTCCTTCCCTGGGTCCCTGCCCTCTGGTGGGAGAGGGGAAGGCTGGTCTCAGGTTTCACCTGAAGCCAACCCTGGAGCTGAGAGGGCTCACCGTCCCCCCCCCCCCCCACCGGCCTCAGTGCCCTCCCTTTTAAGGGGGTAATAACACGTTGTGCTCCTGCGAGGTCTTTGCATACATTAGGATCCGTTAATAACCTATTTCTCTTTTGCAGATAACAAGGGACAGAGAGCTCAAGGCACCTGCCGAAAGTCACATGCTGAGAATGCAGAGCCTGGGCTCCAACCGTGGGCTCGCTCCCGATTCCTGTATTTGACCGTGCCTAAACTGCCTCCCATAATGGACCATTGATCCCAGTAGCTGAGGATTCACCTACTTTCCTCATGTGAGGCAGGCACTTAGGAAGCACTCACTGAATGTCAGCTGTTATTTCAGTGTTCTCATATAAGTAGATGTTTTAAAATTATTGTTTACACCACAGTGTGCTGGCAGGCCAAGTCATTGCCCACCCCCCCCAACGCTCCCCACCCCACACACTTGGCTGGCTCTCACGTCAGGGGCAGATGACTTCCCGTAATTATTTATAAGTGTTTTATTATCATCATCACTGAAACAGTCACCAATAATAAATAAATAAACATAAATGACGGATTAAGAAAAGAGAAACAGTCACGGAGCTTGGGAGTCAGGAAGATGGGGATATACAATTCCCTTGTTGAATAACACCTCTCACAGCCTCAAGAATCTGTACAAATTTGCTTAATTTAGGACCTGATCCTAGCAAAGTCTCAGTGAAAATGCTAGTGATTAGCAGGACTTATTAGTGCTATTATTTCTGCTGTGGCCGCTGAATACCCTCATATCTCAATCTGCAATCATAAGATGTGTGTTGTTGATCTAATGACATCTTTTCAGGATAAAAAATAGTTCTGTATTAAACGTACATGTAAATAGTAAGATATGCCTGTGTCTCACCTTCAGAAATATCGCAAAAGTAAATTTTTAAATACTAATTATTATTTATTACTATGAGTATGAACTTTATGTCATGAAACCTGAGTATAAGACTCATCAGTGCTCCTCTGAATCAGATCACTTGTTGTGTGTCTGCAGTGGCCTGGAGGGGGGCAAAGTGGAAGGCACAGCTTTCTCCCTCTCCCTTTCCACCCTCCCAGCAGACCAAATTGAGAACCCAATGATGAGATCCGGAGAGCTCTCTTGATCGCCAGACGGAAGCCATGTACTGAGGATGGTGATGCAACAGCTAGAAGGGGCCAGGTCAACACTTGGTGGCTTTACGAGAAAGAGGTTCTGTGCCAGCAGAGCTATGACATGAGAAAAGCTACCTTCTATCTGATTTAAATTTTTTTAATGTTCATTTATTTTTGAGAGAGTGGGACAGAGCACAAGCAGGGGAGGGGCAGAGAGAGGGAGACACAGAATCCCAAGCAGGCTCCAGGTTCCAAGCTGTGAACACAGAGCCCAATGCAGGGCCCAAACTCACCAACTGTGAGACCATGACCTGAGTCCGATGCTTAACCGACTGAGCCACCCAAGCAATCCCCTTCTATCTGATTTTAAACCATTCATAATTCTGAGTGTCTCTCTTAAGACTGTCAAACCAATAATGGGTATTTCCAAGTCATAGGATGGGGTTGTAGTCAAAATGGCTCATCGATCACAAAAACCTGCCCTTCCCTTTCAGAGTATAGAATTATCCCTGGAAAGGCTATTTCCCATCCAGGGACTACAGCTTGACATCTGTGTGTGGCCTTGTGATTGGCTCTAAACACTAGGATGGGGGCAGAAGGGACACAGACCATTTCCAGGCCACAGCTCTTAAAAACAAGCATGCTTGGAGTGCCTGGGTCACGGTCAGTCAGTTAAGCATCCGACTTCAGCTCAGGTCATGATCTCACAGTTCATGGGTTCAAGCCCCGTGTCAGGCTCTGTGCTGACAGCTCAGAGCCTGGAGCCTGCCTCAGATTCTGTGTCTCCCTCTCTCTCTGCCCCTCCCATGCTCTCTCTCTCTCTCTCTTTCAAAAATAAAACATTAAAAAAAAAAAAAAGGCATGCTTCTGTGCTCTTTTTGCTCCTACTGGCTGGATACAGAAAAGAACCAGGTCCTAGGGCATAGTGGAGCTCCAAGAAAACTGGGTCTCTCAACAGCCACCTCCTGGAGACATTCTCCACCACCCAGTACACAACACCCACCCAAGGCTGTTACCTCATCAAGAAATAGATGTCTAGGGGTGCTTCAGTGGCCCAGTGGGTTGAGCATCTGACTTTGGCTCAGGTCATGACTTAGTGGTTCTTGAGTTCGAGCCCCACATTGGGTTCTCTGCTGTCAGCCTGTCAGCACGGAGCCTGCTTTGGATCATCTGTCCCTCTCCCTGCCCTTCTCGCTCTCTCACTCTCTCAAAAAGAAATATTTAAAAATAAATAAATAAAAATAAATAAATAAATAAATAAATAAAAATAAAATCTTCCCCCCTTGAAAAAAAAAAAAGAAATGAATGTCCAGTTTGTACATCCATGTTTACAGCAGCATTATTCACAAAAGATGGAAACAAATGGCCATTGACAAATAAGCAAAATGTGGTTTAAAATAAATAAGCAGGGGCACCTGGGTGGCTCAGTTAGTTAAGCGTCTGATGGGCTCAGGGCGTGATCTCGCAATTCATGGGTTCGAGTCCCGGGTCGGGCTCTGTGCTAACAGCTCAGAGCCTGGAGCATCTTCGGATTCTGTGTCTCCCTCTCTCTCTGCCCCTCCCCCACTTGCACTCTGTGTTTCTCTCAAAAATAAATATCAAAAAAAGAAAGAGGTGGGGTCAAATGACCTGGCTGAGCTCAGGTGCCCCCAGCATCCCCTAAACCTCAGCTCTCCCTTCCACTCAAGTGAGTCCCTCCAGACTCCTTCCAGGAAATCCCTATTTTGGCCATTTGGGTTCGCGTCACTGTAACCAAAGCACTGCGCACACGCGAGCCTCATTCAGGGTTGAAACGAGGGATTGAAGGCGGGCTGGATGAGGTGCTGTGTAAGCCTCCAGCGTGGCTGTCCTCACAAAAACGCCAGGGTGCATGGGGCAAGCACCAGCTGCCACTCTGACACCCTTGACAACCCTCTCACATGTCCCCCCTGATGCTCCCTCCTACGCGGAGTGCCCAGAACAGCTGCGGAGAGCAGGGTGCACGTGGAGAGTTTGCAGCTGTCCTCCAATCCCTGAGACACAGAGGAAGACACACACACACACACACACACACACACACACCCCTCCGATGTTCATTATTATGATAATGAGCAATCTTGGAGAGTTTTCATCCTGGGCTGGACACAGAGCTGAGTGTTCTGTTCCAATCAACGTGCTTCCTGCTCACTTCCACCCTGTGAGGTAGCGCGGACCCTCGCTCAAAGTGTGGGCCTCGCACACGCCTAGTCCCCGACACCCAGGACCCCATAAGAAATGCAGGATCCCGGGCCTCGCTCCAACCTACCGGGGCAGACTGTGCATTTTAACCCGGTCCTCAGGACGCCTGGTGGCTAAGTCAGTTGAGCATTTTAACCCAGTCCTCAAGCAGTTCCTACCCATGAGAAAGTCTGCAAAGAGTGAGTGCCAACTTAAATTAACCAGTTCAATTTAGTTAAATTTGAGTTCCAGGTAAATGATGAGTTGTTTTTTAGTATAAAAATGTGCTGATCCTTATCGAAAAAAATTACATCTGGTTTATTTAAACACAAAAGGAATCAGGGGCCCTGGGTGGCTCAGTCGGTTAAGTGTCCAACTTCAGCTCAGGTCATGATCTTGCGGTCCATGAGTTCGAGCCCCTTATCAGGCTCTGTGCTGACAGCTCAGAGCCTGGAGCCTGCTTTGGATTCTGTGTCTCCCTCCCTCTCTGCCCCTCCCCACTCGTGCTCTGTCTCTGTATCTCTTAAAAATAAATAAATACTAAAAAAAATTTAAATACAAATGGAACTGTGCATTATATATATATACACACATATATATGTATATAAACATGTGTATACATATTTTTTAAGTGTATTTATTTATTTTGAGAGAGAGCACACAAGGGAGGGGCAGAGAGAGAGAGAAGGAGAGACAGAATCTGACAGTGCAGAGCCCAGTACAGGACTCGAACTCATGACAGTGACATCATGACCTGAGCCAAAATCGGGTCAGACGCTTAACCGACTGAGCCACCCAGGTGCCCCACATCCTACACTTTTATTTGCTAAATCTGGTCGCCCTGTGTAGAGGACATTGTGGATGCTTTTATGACACCACACACCCTCTTGACACTAGTTTCCCCAGATTTCCACACTCCTTGTATCTCAGGTGCAGGGAGGGGGTGCACGGGAAGAAGAGAGTTC